AGTTCATTTCTGCAAAAAAGCACTAAAAAAAAGCATTGGTGTGAACCAGGCCTAAGAGTTGGACAGGTTTCTGTGTAGTACCACCTAAATAACTGCAGGGGTCAGTGTTGCAGCAGCTCGGTATGCATGCCAGTAGTCCTAATAGCGTTCCTAATATTTCCGCGTTATGTCTAAGAGCTGTGTCAGATGTGCACCTTTGCGTTAGAGGTTTGTATTCGCTGAAACCTCCTTGGACCATTTTCTGTCTGGTTTGTAGCTGGCTATAATACATGTATACCCAGCTACAGACCCCTAGTGGGATGATGATACTGAAGGTTGTGTTGATGACTCAATCTGAAATCAATAGAACCCTGCTTTAACACTGAAATTCAAGTGTAGTCAATCTGTACCCCACCTCCTACACCTTTTGGAGGGTGCTTGGCTGATGGTAGTCCAAAATAAAGTCCATATAAAGTAAAGAGAGCACACCAGGTCCCACCTGAAAACTCTATTGGAGCTCCATACAAGACTCCATTTTGGAGGCACAGCTGGCCTCTTTATCATGGAGATAAACTTTGTTCTGTGTGTCACCATCATAAAGGGGACCACTCTGTCTTCAAAAGATGATGTCACTTTTGCATGGAACTTCAGTAAAGTTCTATGTGTTACCTTGATAAAGGGAACCAATGGGTCTCCAAAACATTGGATTTCCAGTAAAGTTCACCTGGTGTGTCACCTTGATAATGAGTGTTTGTGATGTTTTCTATGTGCTAAACCAGGGGTCCAAATTTTCTAAACAAATTGCCAGATTTTGGTTCTTCAGACTTTAAATGGACAGACTGTGGGCAATCTAAATAGAAAATGCCCTGGTGTCACTGGGATTAAATAATGCCTGTCTGTCAGTGAGTAAGAAAATTACACCTGTAGTTAGTAGGAGAAGGAATATTGTCCCATCTTTGGTATAAGTGGAAGGAATAGTGCCCCATTGTTGGTGTCAGCGTGGAACAGTGCTCCGTCAATGATGTCAGTGACAGGAATAGTGCTCCATCTTTGGTGTATGTGAGAGGAATACTGTCACATTGTTGGTGTCAGCGGTAGGAATAGTGCTCCATTAATGGCGTTAGTGGATAGAAAAAAGTGTCCCATCATTGGTATAAGTGGGAGGAATAGTGTCCCATTGTTGGTGTCAGCAGGAGGAATAGTGCCTCATTGCTGGTGTCAGTAGGAGGAATAGTGACCCATTATTGGTGTCAATTGGAGGAATAGTGGCCCATTGTTGGTGTCAGTAGGAGGAATAGTGCCCCATTGTTGATATCAGTAGGAGAAATAGTGCCCCATTGTTAGTGTCAGTAGGAGGAATTGTACCCAAATGTTGGTGTCAGTGGGAGGAGTAGTGGCCCATTTTTTATGTTAGTAGGAGGAATAGTACCCCATTGTTGGTGTCAGCAGGAGGAATAGTGGCCCATTGTTGATGTCAGTAGGAGGAATAGTGCCCTATTGTTGGTGTCAGTGGGAGGAATAGTGGCCCATTTTTTATGTTAGTAGGAGGAATAGTGCCTCATTGTTGGTGTCAGTTGGAGGAATAGTGGCCCATTGTTGATATCAGTAGGAGGAATAGTGCCCTATTGTTGGTGTCAGTGGGAGGAATAGTGGCCCATTTTTTATATTAGTAGGAGAAATAGTACCCAATTGTTGGTGTCAGTTGGAGGAATAGTGCCCCATTGTTGGTGTCAGTTGGAGGAATAGTGCCCCATTGTTGGTGTCAGTGGGAGGAATAGTGGCCCATTTTTTATATTAGTAGGAGGAATAGTACCCAATTGTTGGTGTCAGTTGGAGGAATAGTGCCCCATTGTTGGTGTCAGTTGGAGGAATAGTGCCCCATTGTTGGTGTCAGTGGGAGGAAATAGTGTCCCAGGGGCTGGATAAAGACAAGCAAATAGCCACATCTGGCCTGACAGCCACATTTAAGAGCCCATTGTGCTAAAATATGCTGTTACTGTACTTTTTCATGGTATTCTTCTTCAGCTGGAACTCGTGTGGTGCCTTTGCTTTATATGGACGTGCTTTACCACTGATGACACCAAAAATGTATTAAGAGAGAGATTCTGTAGGTGATACAAATTACTACAAAATTGCATATATGACATAGCCTAAAACTACAAAGCGTCAGCAATATGAACATACAAAGAATAAAAATGAAATTCTCTTTTACGTGCGTTTAAACTATTCTTGTAAATTTGCCCAATGTCAGTGTAGGTCACTTGTAAATCATGGGGAATCATGTTATTATATTGTTGAATTTAATCCTGATGAATATACATGCCCTAACAAGGAACTTTCTGTATTTGCTCCCTTTTGGTCTGTAAAATATACCTTTGAAAGTCTTTTGTTCTGTTTAATAAGTTCAAAGAATACGTGTTGATCCAGTCAGAAATGTGAGCTAATAACATCCTGAGCTCTCTGCCTGTGTTGTACAGTTATCAGGTATATTGTTCACAGTTGTCTCCGATGATATCAGAACCACGTCCCCCTAGATTACGAACCAGACAGGGGTGGGCTACTGTAGACCTATCTTATTTCTGATGTCATGAGGCTTGTCACCCTAGGATAGGACGTGTGTTAGGCAGGCTAGACGGGTCGTTTATCAGCCGAATTTTCATCCACACAAAAAATCAACCGATATTCACGCTGTTATTGGGGCCAGCCTGTCGGCCATTTTTCGTGGATCTTCACATTTATTTTAATCAGTCATGCTGGAAAATCCACAAAAAACGGCCGTTTTTTGTGGACATTGGTGGCAGCATTGGCAACGGGGCTGACCGATTTTTGGTTTATTGGCCGAAAATTTGGCCGACAAACGGCCCGTCTATGGCCTGCATTACTGGCACAATCTTCAGGTGAAAATCATGGAAAAAAGTATAAAAAAAGGAAAACTAATGCAGCCACCACCTCTAAGGACTGGTAAGCTGCAATATTCTACATTTGGTTTTGGGTCTAACATTTTGATATTGCCTTTTATTCTTCAGGCTCCATGCAAACAAGCTTTTTATAAAGCTCAAAAAAACGCTGGATAAAAATCGCTGGTAATAGCGTTTTTTTAGTAGCGTCTTAGTAGCATCTAGAAGCATTTAGGAGAGTTCAGGAGCGTTAGCTTTTATTAGCGTTTTTACAGTACATGTAGGAAAAAAAAACCTATATAGAAGGTGTTAGTAGTGTTTTAGGAGCGTTTAGAGTTTTTTCTGCTGGGAAAAACGCTCCAAAAAACTCTACAAAAACGATTTTTTTTTTTTTTGCTCGCTGAAGCTCAAAAAACGCTACTAGCCTAAAGCAGTGTGCATGGACACATAGATAACACTGTTTCGCTTCTACGAGCAGAAAGAAAGTGTGTATGGAGCCTTAGGCTGATCTACAAGTGAAATTAAATGAAACGAGGTTTGCTTCCAACATCCAATCATATGGAAAAAATCCTCTATATTATTATTTTTAATTTCCTGCACATCATTTAAACTGGTATGAAATCCAAAAAACAAACATTTATTATATTACAGCTTAACATTTTCTTAGATGTGATGGCTGCATGCATTTTCTATTTTTAGGCTTTCTTTCTTTTATATTCGTCTGGTGATCCAGCCAGTAAGTCTGTTTTTTTTCAAAAGAAGAAGCTCTCCAGCAGAATGTATCAGTTACAGAGAGGAGACAAACCATTTAACCTTAGCAGGGGTGCTTACAATGATCTACTTTCATTTATTAAGGTAAAACTTTTATCCCAAAACTGTTTGCTGTAACTGCTTATAACGTGTTAGCTGGAGTTTGACTTCCATTTGTCAGCATATCTAAATCTGCTAGTACATCAAACACCCCACACCTCCTAGACTGACAATGCTGCTGTCCAAAGATGCCCCCTGTGCTCCTTCATCCAGAGTGGGGGCACTCTAATAGAGGAGGTATGCTACCGGCTAGATCACAGGAGGGGAAAAAGCCCTTAAAAAGAAAACTAATGCAGCCACCACATCTAATAATTGGTAAGCTGCGATATATTACATTTTTGGCTTCAGGTTTAATACCGCTTTAATTGTCAAAGTGAAGACAGGCTTACTTTCACATTGCCTTAGTAAATCATAGTGTAGTAATAATGAAAGCAGTGGGTTTAACCATGAAATGACTACACCACATTTTTACATAGAATATTTACAATCGCAGATTGGTTATTATACATACTGTAAGGGTAGGTGCAGGGGTGGACTGACCATTTGGAAACTCGGGCACTGCCCGAGGGCCCGGGGTCAGTAGGGGGCCCCATGAGATGCCCCTGGTACCTTTTTCATAGGCTTTTTTAAGTTTGGGCAAGGACACAGGGGCCCCATGATCCCCTATTGCCCGGGGGCCCCATGAGTTATCAGTCCGCCCCTGGGTAGGTGAAATATTTTTTTTTTATTTAAAGTAGGGCCTGTGTGGACAAGCTTTTGTTTGCTTTAAATCAGGGGTGGACAGACAACTCATGGGGCCCCCGGGCAATAGAGGATCATGGGGCCCCTGTGTCCTTGCCTAAACTCAAAAAAACCTATGAAAAAGGTACCAGGGGCATCTCATGGGGCCCCCTACTGACCCCGGGCCCTCGGGCAGTGCCCGAGTTTCCAAATGGTCAGTCCACCCTTGCTTTAAATTCATTCAGCATTCCCATACAACATAATGAAAATCCAAAAACCCACTTGAAGCGCTCCAGATGCACCTGTCAATGAATTGTGAATGATCTCAGAAATGTCTAAAACTGGTGGCAGTGACACAAGCCCAAAGCCCATTGACACAGACCCTTTATTTATCAACAAGTATACAGAGCGAGCACCTACAATCAATGGAACCTACAATGGAACTCTACACAAGTAGGCCGCCATACTACAGAAGTCTTGTACAGCCAAACTGTAACACTTATGGCCACGTAACGTCAGATGTAGGCATAGGAAGTGCTTCTAAACTGTGTGGAAACATTGTTGTATCTACCAGATCCCTACATGTCCCTACTGTTAGGAAGAGCCTTGCCGCTTCTGGTATTGTATTCGTAGGTTCTCTAGCTGCTCTTTACATCGCGAGTGGGCCAGGTTAAGGCTCTGATTCTCTTTGGTGAGCTGTTCATACTCCTGTGCTAAATGAACGACATCTGAACTTTCCTTCTCAAACTGATCCAGTCTGGCCATCAGTTCTTTCCTACAAACAAAAAAAAATATATAACCATTAGTAAAACAATGTAATCATACAGATTTAATAAGAATTGACTAAAGGAGTTGTATCCACAGGGGCAGGCTGACAACTCATGGGGCCCCCGGGCAATAGGGGATCTTGGGGACCCTGTGTCCTTGCCCAAACTCAAAAAAGCCTATGAAAAAGGTAACAGGGGCATCTCATGGGGCCAGCTACTGACCCCGGGCCCTCGGGCAGTGCTCGAGTTTCCAAATGGTCAGTCCGCCCCTATTCATAATGCTGCCCTTTGCTTGCCTTTATCTGGCCCTTGAGACACTATTCCTCCCTCTAATAGAAGGCACTGATCTTCCCACTGACACCAACAATGGGGGACTATTCCTTCCACTGACACCGACAATGGGGCAATAATCCTCCCCTGACACCAACAATGGGGCACTATTCTTTCTACCGTCATCAATGATGGAAACATTTCCTTCCACTGACACCAACAATGGGGGACTATTCCTTCCACTGACACCAACGATGGGGCAATATTCCTCCCCCTGACACCAACAATGGGGCACTATTCTTTCAACCGACATCAATGATGGGAAACATTTCCTCCCACTGACACCAACAAAGAGGCACTATTTATTCCAATGACACCAACAATGGGCTATTATTCCTTTTTCTGACACCGATGATCAGGCACTATTCTTTCCACTGAGTTCAATGATGGGGCATAATTCCTCCCATTAATATAAATAATAGAACACTATTCCTCCTAATGACACCAAATATGGGGTACTATTCGTCCCACTGATACAAGACACTATTCCTCCCACTAATATCAATGACGGGGCACTATTGCTTCCATTGACACCAACAATGGGCCATTATTTCTTTCTCTGACACCTATGGTAAGGCACTATTCCTTCCACTGACACAAAAGATGGGGCACTATTCCTTCCACTGATACAAGGCACTGTTGCTCCCACTGACATCAATGATGGGACACTATTCCTCATTAATATCAACAATGGGGCACTATTCCTTCCAGTGATACCCACGATGAGCCATTATTCCTTTCTCTGACACCAATGATCAGGCACTATTCCTTCCACTGAGTCCAACAATGGGTCATAATTCCTCCCATTAATATAAATGATGGAACACTATGACTCCCACTGACATCAATGATGGGGTACTATTCCTTCCACTGATACAAGGCACTGTTGCTACCACTGACATCAATAATGGGACACTATTCCTCATCCGATTGACCAAGGACACCTTGTAAGTTTTGCTCCCACTGACCACAAAGCTTGAAACATTGATTACTACCACTCATGCCAGGGCATTTTTACTCCCAATGGCCACAGTCCAGCTCCCTTAAAGTCTAAGGGCCAAAAAACTGACCCTTTGTTTAGAAAGTTTGGAGACCCCTGGAATAAAGGAATCAAAAAGCATTCCAACTGAGTGAATAACAAAGTAAAACCTTCTTATAACAGAAGGCATTCTCATGTTTCATTCTACCACATATAAATATTATTATTACTAATAATAATAATAATAATAATAATAAATCATACACATAACAGTAAAATAAAAAAGGACAAGCACCTAGGGAATATACTGTGCATACCATGAACTGTACGTGCCAGAAAAAAATTAAATATTTTAACTATTTCAAGAATTTCCATAATGGGGACCCAGTCAGCAATAAAACCTGACATGAGTTCTACACCCCCCCTCCCCCCCAAGAAAAAAAAATGTTGGTCATAGATACACACTAGAAAAAGGGGTGAATTGGGAAATTTGGAGATGGGGTGAGGGCACGAGATGATGGAATAGGGGTCGCTGGCGTGGTGGTGACGATGTAGAGTGCCTGCAGGCATGGCCATGGGGGTTATGGGGGTCATGGGCAGAGGTCAGGCTGAGTGGGCATGCAGGTATTTAGGATTAATGGCCATTGTAATAAATGAATACTTTAGCAGTCGGGTTAAATGTTTGCACTGTGAATCCTGTATTAACACACAGCTGCTCATATATACAATCATGATGTGTACACAGGGGCGGACCGACCATTTGGAAACTCGGGCACTGCTCGAGGGCCCGGGGTCAGTAGGGGGCCCCATGAGATGCCCCTGGTACCTTTTTCATAGGCTTTTTTGAGTTTGGGCAAGGACACAGGGGCCCCATGATCCCCTATTGCCCGGGGGCCCCATGAGTTGTCAGTCCGCCCCTGTGTGTACAGCAACATAAACACACACTTACCTCCGTTCTTCCAGCAGTGCGATTTCCCTCTTCACCTGATGATATTCCTCTGCGATTTTGCAGTGCTGTTTAAACACCTGCATGGACTCCTTCGATGTGTTACATGGCGGAAGAGGCTGAAGAAACAGAGGGAAGATAACGTAATTGTCAGATTTAAGATTTTAGCAAAAATTTCTTTTATATGCAGTCTGGGAACTGCAGAGAAGAAAGGAAAGTAGAAATGTACTATCTGGAAAAATATGAAGCCCATCACTGATCTTTATGATCTATATGAATTCAGGGGTGCAGGGTCTCCAAAGTACGACTCGCAGACCATATTTAGCCTGCTACAAGAGTTTACCGGGTGGCAGCAACTCTGATGCACATGCTCCCCCATGCTCAGAATCATTGGGCATATTTCGAGGGCTTCGTAGGAGCAATAGTGCATAACGAGGGACCAGTGAAGATGACTGTTAGTGGGTCAGAGTACGGGCTTTTAAGAGACTCTATCACTTTGCCCTAAATGTCCAAGGATAAACCAAACCATCACTTCCAGGACTCCTTGTTCTTCTTTACTCTGAAGATAGTTCTTAATGACATTGGCAGTATGTTTGGGGTCATTGTCCTGCTGCAGAATACATTTGGGGCCAGTCACACACCTCCCTGATTGTATGGCACGATGAAGCATGGTGGAGGTTCCTTGCATTCCTGCAGATGGAGTTGGAGATTTTGTCAGGATAAATTGTGTTCTCAATGGTGAGAAATACAGGCAGATACTTCATCATGCCATATCATCAGGGAAGTGTGTGATTGGCTCCAAATTTATTCTGCAGCAGGACAATGACCCCAAACATACAACCAGTGTCACTAAGATCTTCAGTGTGCAGAAGAACAAGGAGTCCTGGAAGTGATGGTTTAGCCCCCACAGAGCCCTGATCTCAACATTGTGGCGCAGGGGAGGACTGACCATTTGGAAACTCAGGCACTGCCCAAGGGCCGGGGGTCAGTAGGGGGCTCCATGAGATGCCCCTGGTACCTTTTTCATAGGCTTTTCTGAGTTTGGGCAAGGACACAGGGGCCCCATTATCCCCTATTGCCTGGGGGCCCCATGAGTTGTCAGTCCGCCCCTGTTATGGAGTGTCTGTCTGGAATTACATGGAGACAGAAGGATTTGAGGCATCCTACATCTACAGAAGATCTGTGGTTAGTTCTCCAAGATGTTTGGAACAACCTACCTGCCGAGATCCTTCAAAAAGGTAAAAGGTGTTCACACCAAATAATGATTTGATTTGGATTTCTCTTCTGTTCATTTACTTTTTATTTTGTTAATTGATAAACATAAACTATTATCACTTCTATTTCTAAAAGCATTTTTAATTTACAGCACTTTCACACCTACCTAAAACATTTTCACAGCAATATATATAAAACATTATAAATAAATGTTTTCTTTTTTGTAAGTGATCACACAACCTCTGTTCTCAGCTGCATAAGGAGCTCAGAGAGCTGAGAAACGAGAAACAGCACCACACCGATCTTCCCAGTGAATGGCTGTGCAGGGGGAAAGGGGGGCTGACCATTGCAGGACAAGTAGGCTGTTCTTCCAGCACAGCCAGAAAACTAACCACACCAGAATGGATGTGCTCTCAAGCTTAGCATGGTCAGTTTTAAATAGGAAAGAAGGGGGACTGGCAGGGTCAACAGGTATTTCATGCAAAGGAAGCAATACAAAGAGAACAGGATACTTTTTAACACAAGTACATAGTAGAACAGACACATATCAGGAATATGAAATGTTGGGGTAACAAATGCTTTAGGCAGGTCAGAAACAAAAATCAGATACTGTAGTTCTGGTCTGGTTCAGGAAATTAATATATTAGTGGTTTTCCCAGCATCAGAAAAATCTATTTATTTTTAGAGATTTAACTAACTCTGTCATGAGAAACTAGAGAGAAGTGTCTTACGTGATTTCTGTAATCTGACTTCCCACTTGAATTTTGCTTGGTGGTTGCCTGTATTTCACAAAGTGCAGCTACTTCTCTATGTCACGCCTAAGCTTTGATACTGATCCTTACAGCAAATGGCTGAAGGCTATAAATATTAGGACATGGTGGACAGTCTCATGATATAGTGGTCTGTCCAATGAAAAAAAAAAATAATAAACCGTATAATTTTCCCCAATCTTTCATTAAAATCCTGGCATCTAGCAGATCCAGGCTAAATCCTGGGGCCCAGTGCCAGAATGAACCCCAACTCTGGGCTCCACTAATCTCCCTGCTCTGATCTGGTTCTGATTCCCCTACAATGCAGCCGGCTTCTCCTCCTCTCCCTCCTGTCAGCTGCACTGCAGGGGAATCAACAATGTCTGTACCCGGCACCCCCTGACTCCCTCTGTCTTCTGACCCTAATGTGCCTCCCCCACTGCTCCAATCCCCCTGTGTGCCACCTCATCCCCCTTCCCCTTACGGTACTGCCAGCTTCTCCTCTTCTCCCTCCTGCCATCTGCACTGCAGGGGAATCAACAATGTCTGTACCCGGCACCCCCTGACTCCCTCTGTCTTCTGACCCTAATGTGCCTCCCCCACTGCTCCAATCCCCCTGTGTGCCACCTCATCCCCCTTCTCCTTACGGTACTGCCAGCTTCTCCTCTTCTCCCTCCTGCCATCTGCACTGCAGGGGAATCAACAATGTCTGCACCCGACACCCCCTGACTCCCTCTGATTAAATATGTTAAATTTACTGGCCCCTGCCTTTCCTGAATGAACACAGCAAGCAATTGGTATTGATCACTCCTGTGTTCATTCATAAGTGAAACATAATAAACTGTGTGAACAGGAAGCCGTTCCACCTCCCATTCATTCACTGTCCAGTGCAACTCTGTCCTCAGTCCCTTTTTCTGTTTCAAAAGTATGTAATGGGGTAGGAATGCTCTTTATGTGTTTGCTTAGATCTCTTTGGGTGCTCTGATCTCCTACCATGATCCAAAAACTTAGGGCAGGCCTTCACTAAAATATTTCACTTTCACTCCTCTTCTCCACCCTCCCTCTTACACAATTGCAGAAATTAATCTCACTGCAAATACATTTTTTTCTTCTTTGCAGCCCCCCACTTCCAGATCCCTTTTTTGGCAAAGGATAATGTCACCCACCTGCTTCCTCCTGGGATATCCATGTCACAGATCCCAGGAGGCAGTGAGATAAAGTATTAAGTGACTTCAATGCTGCACATGTGCAGAGAAATTCCCCATTCACACCGCAATCTCTGCTACATCTCATCAGCCTAATAATTGAGCAATTAGTATTTTCAGAAAGTGATGATGAAATGGCATAAGGACTGATGTGAATGGTAGTCATACATTTGGTAAATCAATACATACTATAAGCCCACCATATAGTGCTGAAAGTCTTAGAATTCCCAGGTAAGAATTTTCCATGTATCTTTACCTGAAGCTGCTGGTCTAGATCTGGAAAAGACAAAGGGAAGGATTTCTCTGCAGATGATTCATCTGTAAAATACAAAAACACATAATACTGCTATGTAAATGATGCAATTACAGATATTATCACTTCGCAGCTACATGGTACTGGCACTAGGGCATAGTACTTATGTTCTTTAGGGATGCATAGAATTCTTTTGTATAGATACAGTATCTCTCTGTGAGTTTATTTTGCTTCCCAAGTCATCTCTTGAAAAAGGCACAAGTTGCCCCTTGATGACTGTGTCTGTTCAGCAAATGGCAGAGCTTCACGCCAAGTCAAGTTATTGTTCTTCTTCTGACTTCAGCTGCTCCTACACCTTGTCTTCTCTCCACTGCAGGTCGGCTAAGTTTGATTAGTTTTACCCTTGGTCCACATCTATGCATTTTCAGTGTGCTTTGCAGAAATGCTTACAGTCCATTTAACATGGTTTCCTATGGATCTAGCTCACATCGGTACGTTTTGAGCCAGTGTGTTTTTTAGAAAGGGTAGGGGTCTTTTCTCCCGCAGCAGATTGTGTTTTGCACGTAATAGACTTCAGATTTTCAATAGAAGTCTAGCATTTTTTATGCATTTTACATTTGTTTTGGCTTATAGCAAAGTACGGCAATTCTCTACATGTAGTATGATTTTGATGCGACTATGACTATGCATCAAAATAGTGCAGTAAACTTTATGTGTCCAAACTCACTTGTTGGGGTTAAATCTATGTTCTCATTCATGCCCTCTCTGAGGGCCCCATACAATCTATGTTCTCCATCATACACTCCCTTAGAGCCCCATAAAATCTATGTTCTCAATCATACACTCCCTTAGAGCCCCATAAAATCTATGTTCTCCATCATACAATCTCTGAGGGCCCCATACATTCTATATCCTCCATCATACACTCTCTGAGGGCCCCATACATTCTGTGTTCTCCATCATACACTCCCAGAGAGCCCCATGCAATCTATGTTCTCCATCATACACTCCCTGAGAGCCCCATGCAATCTATGTTCTCCATCATACACTCCCTGAGAGCCCCATACAATCTATGTTCTCCATCATACACTCTCTGACCGACATGAAAGAGAAATATATTTCCAATATATTTAGAAAAAAAATTATATATATGACATATATTTACAGTATATTGGTCTACGCTAATATATTTTACCATGAATTTTTTAATATATTTATATATTAAAACAATATATTTTAATATAGTAATATATATATTTAATATATAATTTTAATATATACATCTAATATATTTTAACAACATATTTTTAATGTATTCTAAAAAAAATAAAATTTAAATATATTTTCTAAAGGCATACATTTAAAAATATATTTTTTAAAAATATATTCTTCAGCTTTTTTTAACATATAAAAAAGTAATTGTAACTGCTTGTAAATGCATTCAAAAATGTAGATTAAATGTATTTTCAAAGACATATATTTGAAAATGTATTTTTAAAAATATTCATATATATTTTTTAATATATAACAAATGCATCTCAACATACACTTTATATATATTTTGAAATATATTTTTGAAATATATTGAATACGGCCAAAATTGTAGTATTTCAAACTAGGGTTAGGGTAAATGTTACGGTTAGGGTTAAGGACTAGGTTTAGGGTAAATGTTAGGGTTAGGATTAAGGGCTGGGGTTAGGGTTAAGGGCTAGTGTTAGAGTAAATGTTAGGGTTAAGGGCTAGAGTTAGGGTAAATGTTTAGGGTTAAGGGCTAGAGTTAGGGTAAATGTTAGGGTTAAGGGCTAGGGTTAGGGTAAATGTTAGGGTTAAGGGCTAGAGTTAGGGTTAAATGTTAGGCTTATGGCTAAGGGTTAGGGTAAAAGTTAGCATTAAGAGCAAGGGTTAGGGGAAATGTTAGGGTTAAGGGCTAGAGTTAGGGTTAAATGTTAGGCTTAGGGCTAAGGGTTAGGGTAAATGTTAGAGTTAAGGGCTAGGGTTAGGGTAAAATGTTAGCGTTAGAGTTAAGGACTAGAGTTAGGGTAAATGTTAGGGTTAAGGGCTAGAGTTAGGATTAAGCGTTAGGCTTATGGCTAAGGATTAGGGTAAATGTTAGGGTTAAGAGCTAGGGTTAGGGTAAATGTTAGGGTTAAGGGCTAGGGTTAGGGTTAAATGTTAGGGTTAAGAGCTAGGGTTAGGGTAAATGTTAGGGTTAAGGACTAGGGTTAGGGTTAAATGTTAGGCTTAGGGCTAAGGGTTAGGGTAAATGTTAGGGTTAGAGTAAATTTTAGGGTTAAGGGCTAGGGTAAATGTTAGGGTTAAGGGCTAGAGTTGGGGTTCAATGTTAGGCTAAAGGTTAGGGCTAAAGGTTAGGGTAAATGTTAGGGTTAAAATGAACTAGGGTTAGGGTAAATGTTAGGGTTAGGGTAAATGTTAGGTTAGGGCTTTAGGGTAAGGGCTAAGGGGGGTTAGGGTTAAATGTTAAGGTTAGAGTTAAATGTTAGGGTTAGGTTAGAGTTAGGGTTAGAGGTAATTGTTAGGGTTAGAACACTAACCCTAACAATTACTGCTAACCCTAATGATTACCGCTAACTCTAACCTCAACATTTAACCCTAACCTTAACATTTAACCCTAACCCTAGCCCTTAACCTTAACCCAAACATTTAATCCTAACCCTAGCCCTTAACCATAACTCTTAACCCTAATCCTAGCCTTTAACCCTAACATGTGACTTTGGATACAAAGGTTCTGCACTACTTTGAAGCAACTTTGATGCTACTCGAGCGACAGAGATTGTAAAGTTGCGTTAAACTTGCACTACATTAACAGAACTGTCTTAGTTTCCTATTAGCCAAAAAAAACCCGCAAAACACATCAAATGCGTGTGTTTAAAAATGCAAAACCCACCACAAAACATGCCAGAAAAACATCAACCACAACCTGCATAGTTGTGAACCTTGCCTTAATCCTTGCCTGGTGGTAAAGCTAAAGTTAAACACTGTCTACAGGACATTTTAGTGGGCTCCCTAGGTCATACAAAAATTGCCCAGACTTTCTGGCATGACACTGTTTGCTCAATAAATATGTGAAATGCGTCTATTTTGAGGTGCTGGTGACTTTGTTGCTTAGGATCGATTACAGATCACTTCCCACTGCCTATGGAATTGTTCTTTTGCTGCTCCCTCTCTAGTCAATGAAATTGTACAGCCTTCTAGGCCAGTGAGAACGACGTTCTATTAGGTGAATTGGTTTCCTTGCTTGCATTGTCACTGATATTGTGTCACCAACAGCAGAATCGCTCCTCTGATATGGCTTTTAGGAATGGTGACAGTTTTTATTTTAATTAATTGTAATCAAAGGTTTTATTTATTTTAAAGCTTTTTCCTGCATAGCTATCCATTTATCCAGCACAGCCAGAAAACTGTCCATGCTGGGAAGAATGTGCTTGCATGCCTAGCATGGTCAGTTTGAAATAGGAAAGCGGGACTTGAAGGACCACCAGATATTTCATACAAATGAAGAAATACAAAGAGTACAGGATACTTTTTAACAGAAGTACATGGCACAACAGACACATATTGGTAATAAAGTGGTTCTAAAGGTAAAAGGTTTTTTTTTTTTTACCTTAATGAATTCTCTGCATTAAGGTAAAAAATCTTTTAACAGTGGCTTCCTCCCCCAGCTCCAATAAATGCTCACCTGAAGCTGCTTGGCTCAGTGCTGTGCATGTTTGCACCAGCTCCTCTCTGAGCTCTGACAGGCTTGTGCTGAGAGCAGTGGGAGCCATTGGCTCCAACTGCTGTCAGTCAAAACCTTTCAGCAGAGAGTGGGGGCTGGGCTGGTCTGGGCTGTGTGTCTGAATAGACGCAAACAGCCTGGCTCAAGATTAGGCACACACGAGTGCCCCCATGGGAAGCATCTTCTTATGGGGGTAGTTGGCAGGGGTGGGGTGGGGGAGGAGCCAGAAACGCTGGTGGGGGACTCGAGAAATGGAGGATCTAGGCTGTTCTGTGCAAAACCATTAAACAGAGTGGGTAAGTATGTCATGTTTGTTGTCTTCGTTGTGTTTTTTTAAATCAATCTTTACAATCACTGTAAATTAACAAATTAAAGCTAAACTCCAGCTAACATGTTTTAGGCTGTTATAGTGACAGCTTTTTTAACTACTAGGATAAAGGTTTTATATAAATAAATAAAAGCTGACCATTGTAGGCACTCCTGTTAGTGTTAAATGGTTTGTCTCAAACCACTAACAACCACTTTTGATGGACAGCTTGGTCTGTTAAAGGAAGTTGAAAAATAACAGACTTACTGGGTAGATCACCAGGTGACAATACAAGTTGTAGCTATACAAACACATATTTTAATGGAAGGGATGATTCCTATATGTTTCATACATGGACAGTGTAAAAAGTGCAGACAAGTGAACAATAATATACAGTAGGATTCCCAAAATTCATCATAAGTAAAAAGGAATATGATTTGTCTACTTCACCCCAAGATAAAATGCTGAATCATCTGGGAAAACATTTCTTCTTTTCTTCACAGAATTATTGCCACACATCAGCCATGTAACACAAGACCACAAAACATAACCTTAGGGTTGTTTAGGAAAGTGATGCTGAACTCCTAAGCCAGACTTCCTTTCGCAGAAGCCAATTTTTCAAACATTTCAAAGTAATTTCAAAAGTCATTTTCAGTATTTTTAACCAATACACGCCCGGCCAATAACCAAAAGGCGGCCGGGAAAATGTATTGGATTTCCGGGTTGGGTGCCAAATAGAGTCCTCCCGCACATGCGCACTTTTCGCGCTTGCAGAGCCGCGCAGCGGCGCGATATGTCACCGGCCGTGTACCTCGGACACGGCCGATGACAGATCTGAGTATCGGTCCCGTTGCCGGTACCATGTGACCTGCTGTGACCAATCACAGCAGGTCACATGACAGTTGTATACAATGGATGGCTTCATTCATGCCATCCATTGTATACTACTGCCTAGCTGTGAATGGTCACAGCTAATCACATGCACATGTCATGTGACTAGCTGTGGCCAAATCACAGCTAAGCACAAAAAAAAAAAAAAAACCC